TAAGACATTATTAATATAGTTTTAAAAGAAGGCTAAAGCGTTATAAAGGCCAAAAAGGACTATATTCTATTTATATAAGCCTATATATATATAAAAGGCTATTTTCTATTCGTCTCTATAGGCTATTCTAATTCTATAAAAGATAGTAATAATGTCTAACTTAGTATATTATATAGCTTTATAAAGCTTGTCTAAGGTCTCTTAAATTAAGGGAATCAGGTATCTATTTTTGACTATAATAATGTTTAAGCCCTAGTAATCTATATAAAATTATAGACTTTCTTTAGGTTTCTTAATAAATAGGACTAGAGCAATAGTAAAGGACTTAGATATATAAATAAAGTTCTTTAATAGATAGTCTTTTAGTATTTTGTCTAAGACCTCTAATTCGTTTCTAGATATACTATATAGGGCTCTGAATAATAGTTCAATATTTAGTAATAACTTAATCTTATAATTTACTCTAGAGCGATATAATAAAAGCTTATTAGTAGCAGCTTTATTAAATAAGGACAGGAACTTATAGTATTACTTAAGAAGTCTAGTCTAAGGATCTATAGTTTCTTTAAGTTTTAGGGCTTTCTTAATATCTCTTAATAATATTATAAAGACTTTATAATCTCTTTACTTACTTAAGTAATTAAAGGCTATTACTCTTATTATAATTAGTATTATAATTATATCTATAGCTTTTACGCCCCGACCGCCTCGGCCAAGTCACACTTATTCACCACCAACAGATCCGACCCCGTAATGCCCGGCCCACCCTTCCTCGGCACCTTATCCCCACCCGCCACATCGACCAACTCTTATAGATATAAATAATAAGGGTACTTTAGTAATATAAGTAGTAATAATAGTTTAATTATTAAAACCTATTATTACTTTTTAGTAGTTAAGTTTCTTATAAGAGAATAATTATATAAAGCCTTTACTAATATATGCTACTATATTATAGCCAGAATTAATTAAGGCTTAATATTTAAATTATCTAATATTATACTTAATTAAGAGGCACTTAAAGTTAAAAGAAAGGTCTGCTAAATATAAAGAAATAGAACCTAATTATATTACTAAGTTATTTACTATATTAGTAATAATTAATCTCTTCTTAGTCTTTTAAACATAACTTAGTTTAGGGTTACTTTATTTAATAACTTTATATTAATATAATTATTAGACGAAGAAAGAAGAGTAAGGGAGACTAAGGCAATAAGTGTAGTTACTTATAAGGTTGCTAGAACAAAGGTTGCTCTGTGGCTTTAGCTTTGGCTTTTCTGGGCATGTATTAGCTCTATAGTCCGGGCCTGTGTAATAGTAACAAAGGCTTAAATTGCGTTAATATTCTCATTCAGCTTCGCGTTCGTTAGAGGCTCTGCGAGCTAAGTAATCTATGTCTATAGAGTCATAGGAAACAGGGGCAGGCATGACAGGATAGGCGGGGGCCGGAACTAAGATAGTTAAACTTCTAAGCGGCTTCTATAACCTGGTTGTCTATTATAATAGTGTGACACATAGTAGGTTATCCTGCTAAGTATACTCTTAAACAAAGACTTTATATAATATGTCTCTAATATTAATTATAGCTAGCTTCTTTATAAGTTTCTTAAATAATATAAGTTAGAGCAGTCTCTTAAGACTATAGTCCTAAAATAGCATTCTTTTAATAGTCTACTTAAATTCTGGATAAAATTCAGAAAAGGGTTAGTATGTTTGCCTTATCTTTATAAGATAGTAGATAATAGAGTACTCCGGGTCAGCATTACTAAAGTTAAGCTTTAGTTCTTTAATTAGATCTACCTAATTTAGATAGATCCCTTTATTAATATTATCTAGAATAATATCTAAGGCATGATCTATAAGTTAAGAGAATACGTAATAGACACATAATATAAGTATAAAGTATCTGTTAGTATTAATTCTAAATTTTAAAGTAAGGCCTACTCTAAACCTCTTTAAGTCTTTATAAGTATTAGGCCTTAAGCCACTAAATATAAGAACATCTATAGTCTTTTCTGACTTTATAAGTATATACTAGAGTTATTAATTTTATTACAGGACTATAGCTATTACTAACAAGGTCTGAGCTATTAAGCCTTAAGTCAGATCTTAGGCTAAGTGCTTAGAAGGCTAGGGAGTGTAAATCAGAGCCAGACTATATATAGGGATAGATATGTAAGAGGGTTCTTATAAGTCAACTATGTCATCATCAAGACGTATCTGGGCGTTAGCTATAGCTTCCGCAGATAAAAAGGACTTAAGGGAGATCTCAGACTCTTCTGAGGAGGAAGGGATGCGGAACAGGATGAAAGAAGGAGAGGCAGTGGTTCTTCTACTGCCCAGACTAAGCAATAAGAAACAATGACAAAGGGAAAATAGGTTAAGGCGGACCTAAGGACCAGAAGATAAAAATAAGTGAGACGCTTCGTAATGTTAGGAGAGCTATGGTTGGGCCTAATATACAAGACGAAGCATGAAGAAAAGGAAACGAAAGTGGGAACACAACGCTCTATATACATGTCCGTGCCCCTTATCTCACTAAGGCCAGGTACAGACAACTGTGGGTACCTGTCGTCAGTGATGGCTAGAATAGCGGCGGGGAGCTGGGTCCGAGATGAGCTCTGTGAGCCATGGTCAGTGCCACAGGGAATATGGTCCTTGGCGTAGGTCGCGGGAGGATTCGTAACAGTATAAAGGAGGCTATACATTACTTAAAAAAGACTATTAAAGCTAATTTTTAACAGTTAAATAAAATAAAGGCTTTTACTAGAAGTAAGCTACCTTAAATACTTAATTTATAAGCATTTTGTAGCTTGCAAATATAGTTATATTTTAAGTTATTTAATAGTTATCTTTTAAGTAAGAAGTTACAAAGTTAAGATATTAAGATAGCTTATTATAAGCTGAATTAGCTCCTTGTATTAGTTATAAACTATTACTTTGATTCAGCCTTCTTTATAAACACTATCTTTGTCAGGCCTGTCTTAATGGCTTACTAATACCATGCTCTTTCCTTCATCCACGTTAGTAGTTACAAGGTGAACCAATTCAGGTTGCTAATTAGATGCTATTCTACCAAGTTATAAGCCTATCTTTGTCTCCTCCTTGAAATTTGGCCTCTCAGAATCCTTATTTATCCCCTGAGAGAAATAGGATGACAGAACTTGGTCTACAAGTTATACAGGCGCGAGATAATCTTACAGGGTACGCTTGTTAATAATATGAAATTGCAGCTGCTCAAACGCAACAAGGGCTTGTTGAATTCGCTCAGAGCTTCGCGTTAATGACCTCCACGTTCGAATACCAGATATTGTCAAAAGGCCTGGGTGGAATAGGCAGTTTAAGAGTCATGATAAGGTTAATAAGCGGCTTATAACAAGAGCTGAGGCAGCAGAACAGGACGCTAATGATAAAGAGCAGGCCACTGCTCGAGAAGCACGCCAGCAGGCTAATATAGCCCTCACAGCATCGTCTATAGCAGGGCTAATACCCCTCGCAGGGTCTCCTCCGCCTCCTCCTCCTCCTCCTCCTCCTCCTCCTCCTTCTGACCATAGGACTCGTGGATCTCCTACTGGGGCCCCCGACGCTGCCGCCCTCAACGCCGCCACCAGCACATCGGTTCGTCAGTCCTTCCTAACTCCTGACGAAGAAGAAGAAAAAGAGGAAGAAGAAGCTATAGATGAGGCTTTTATACTCCCTCCTTCAACAGCGCTAGCAGCAATGACGCAAGCAATGACGCAATCAAGAGCTGGCCGCAAGAGGGCCCCCACAATGAAGGCATTAGAGGCTGAAAAGGTGCCAAAACGGGGTACAGGGCAGGGCAGGGGTAGGGGTAAGGGCAGAGCAGGCAGAGGGGCCCAGGGATAGAGCTATCTCTGCAACACCACGTTTTCTATTTCCATTTCCTAATTGGGAAGTAACTTCAACGTCAATATCAATGCAGATTTTGTACAGGAACGTCAATTCATTCAATTGGTTCTGATGAGCAAATTCACTAGTAATTTGTATGACGTAAAACCCGCCAAGACCCAAACGCCGAATGTACCGCTCGCCGAATGTACCGCTC